CAAACCCTCTTGCTTTTCTTGGAGCTTACATTCACCATCTCTTCTTCCTCTTTCTAAGCAGCTATACTTCGTTTTGATTTATTCAGTTAATGTTTTTCTGTGGATCGAGAAAAGGAAGTAAATCACGTATAACACTTTCAGACTGGATGAGATCAAGAGCCCATCTAGAAAGCTCTAATGCAGGAGTGGTGAAAAGTGTCAGATGCACTTTTTAAAGATTATCAGAGAATAATCAGAGAACTGTACCCTTAAAATGTTGAGATGATCGGAGTTGTTCATAAAGTAGAAATCCACGACAGTACTTTTCAAACAAATGGTATGGTATCTAATCCAGCATCATGTATTACTTTAGTAGCCTGTGTGATACGTACACTCTGAATTTGTGCATGTTTACTTGAAGTATCCCATAGTGTTCTGTGGGACTTGCTGTCATGCAAGTGTGCATAGGATTGCTGCCTTAGTTACGTGGGTTTCAGGCTTCCTTAAAGTCTCAGGTGCTGGTGGGAAGTGGTGTGTTTTCTCATTGTTACAGGAGTTTTCACTTCCCCAATGTACACAGTGCTCATGTATATACATTACATTGGAAATACCCATGTTTGCTTACCTAAACTAGGGAAGAGGAATTTATTCAGCAGGCAGAATGATTGCCACCACAGCTGCTTTGCATTGCTTAATAAAAATGGGAAGTGTGACTGGCAGGTTGACAATTCCCTTGCTAGCTGAGTTCTTTTCCATCAAGCCAGGATAACCACGAGATGTTGCGGTTAATCCAAATATGGCACACTGCTGGCAAGTTTCACAATTATAAGCACAAAGGGGTAGGTACTTAAGCATTACGTGTGTTAATGAAAAGTACCTCATTGTCTCTAAGATCACTAGGAGTCAGGAAGAAAACAACAGAAAGGGTACAGAAAAATGGTCATGTTTATACCATAAATAAACTTTGGTCTGGTTTCAATCTAGTTCAACTGCTGTAGCTTTTTCAAGAGAGCCTGGGAATTGTAGTTCTGTCAGGGCAAAGATAATTCTATTAAGAGTCCCAGTCTCCTCACATGGGTTCCTTGGTGGGACCTGACTTGGAATATGAACAACATGATTCTAGGGGTATACCTGAACTCCCCACTTAGGTTTCTTAGCCGAGTGTTTGTGTGTCAACCTATCACTTTAATAATTTCCAGTATGGTTATATTTCCCTTCCTTACCATTTGTATTTGTGTGTAGTGCTAGGGCCGTTGAGGCTACACTGTTCTGTAGCTCACACTTGCTTTCTTGGAGGGCCTCTGAGCTCAAAGGATGTTGCAGGCCTATGCATCCTCACTTCCTTTGATCTTGCATACCTTCAAACCTGCAGCAAATGTTAGCAGTGTAAGCTGAGCTCTTTGTCTTTTGTTTTTGCCCTAGTTTTATACTTGGGGAACTATTCTCCGCCTCCCCCTTCTTAGCTGTAATTCATGTTCATTTTATAATCTATAGACCAACTTCCTGGGCTCAGTATAGATTGAGCATGCTGTTTAAAAGACCTAAGGCTGCCATCTGAACCACATGCCGTGGGAACTAACTTTCTTCTGTACCTATGCAACTTGGAAGTAAATATACTTTAGGATTTAAGTTTTAAAACTTTTGCATATTGTGTAGTATTCCTCTTAATATTTCAGGCATCTTACTTTGGCCTTAGGAAGTTATGCATGGATATTTTTGAATTGTAACTTCGTGTTCTTGTCCTCATATGATATTAGAGACTGCACAAATTATTCTGATACAGTTGAGGCATCGCAGTTGCATTAACATTATATTTTTGTATGGGGTCTGGGATGTGTTGGTGGCGGTGATTAAAATTCAATTTGTTATAGATGAGGGTCCATTTAAACATTACAGTCACCATATGGAGGTTGCTGAAAAAATGGTTGCTTATGTTAGTGTGTCACACTGTGGGAGTGACACATTCTAGACTGTAAGCTGTCTAGTCAGGGGGACTTCTCTTTGCTTATGAAACTTGGTACAGTTTGTGTGCTGTACTGGTAAAAAAAACAAACAAACAAAAATTGGTCCCTAGGCATGCAGTGCCTGCACACTGGAACTCCATGTTCCTCTAGTGGTGGTGGTGGTGGTGGTTGTTCAGTCGCACAGTTGAGTACGACTCTTCGCGACCCCATGGACCAGCTCCCGCCAGGCCCTCCTGTCTTCCGCCGTCCTCTGAAGTTTGCTCAATTTCATGTTCGTTGCATCTATGACACTGTGGTGGTTGTGTTGGTATATAAATACTGTATGCATTTGCAGTAGTGCATGAGATGAGGGGCTTTTAAATGCTGTTCCTGCTATGTAAAATGCTGATAACAAGAAAGGCCTCTATGTGGGGAGCAGGTTATAGCATACTTCTGTGGCTTTCTGCTGATAAATGCTGCTGCACTTTGTCGGTTTGCAGGATAGCATAGTAAGCAAGTTATTCTAATTCTGCCTGTGGCCATCCTGTATATTTTATTAAGGGGAATTGTCATCAATGGCTTTGTCTTGCCAGTAGTATTTTTTTCCTGTCACACGTAGCAATTAGCAGCCTTCTTACTGCGAAAAATGTAACGTGTCCATTTGCAGCATTTTTGCTGGAGGTGATGCATGTAACAACAGTTAGGAGTTGAAATATAAATTGCAGGATAATAAGGCAGAAGTCTTGAAAACGTTGATGTTTGAGGCTCTGGGTGTAGTAAATCTAGGAGGTTTTGAATGGTGACAATTTGGAGAAAGCACATAATAGAGAAGGAGCTTTTGAGCTCAGACAGTGGGCGCTTGTGTGGATTTATGCTAAGTTGTTGGCATTTTAAATTTCTTTTCAGGACACAGTTAGTGTAGTTGAAACTAAACTATGGGTTTAATGGAGACGATGAAGAGGTGCTGGTTGGTAGGTGGCCAAATGTGGTATGCCTGGCCTGGAGAAAGACATTGGTGAGTGCCTCTTTTTCTTGAAGTGGAAAAACTCCAAAATTCCCTGTTTCCTAAGAAAAAATTGAAACAAACGTAATGTGTTTGGGAGCTTAAACAACATGAACACA